GGGCTGCGTGCAGGGTGCCCAGCACCACCTGTACAGCACCCAACCGTCCCGGTGCCCCCCACGCCCTCGAGCCCCCTGCACCCCAGTGCCCATCTTGCATGCTGCACCCTCCCCATCTCACCCTTGCCAGCCACATGCTCCGCCCTATGCGCCCAGTGTCCCCCCCGCCCCGCACCTGTAGCCTCCCAGTGAGCTCAGACCCTCCAAGGCCCACGGGTCGCCCGTGCGCCCTAGATCCCCTTATGCCCTGGGTGGCCACGAAGCCCAGTGCCTCCCATGTTAGCAGTGCCCGGAGCCTCTGGTCACCCCACACCCAGCCCCATGCACTCCAGGCATCCAGAGAAGCCCCGCACGCCCTGTTTGCTTCCACGCCCCCCACGTCCTGTCCCTTCCCAGGCGCCCTGCGTTCACTGGGGCAACCCTGCCATCTGGAGGAAGCAGTGCACAGCCACTCGTGAGCCTGAGGCAGCCTCCCTGGTGCTGGTGTGGAGCTCTGTCCCCGCCATAGCTTGGACCCCTGTGCTCTCCCTGCCCTACCCTGCCCTCTCCAGCCCAGAGTCACCTCTCCCAACCACTCTGACTTTTTGTAACAACTTAATTGTGGTATAGTTTTCACACAGTAATATTCAGCTATTTCAAGTGTACCATTAAAATGGTTTTTACTAAATCCACCATCATCATGATTCAATTTTAGAACATTTTCATTACCTCAAAAAGATGTCTCTGGCCTATTTCTAGTCTCCTAATATAGCATATTTCATTACCTGCTTTCCCACCACTGAACCAGTGTTAGGTTCCTGGGGTAAATCCCACTTGGTCCTTTTACTGTCTTGTTCTATGCAGTTCACTAATACTTAAAAGATTTTTACACCTATACTCGTGAGGGATATTGCTCTGCAGTTTTCTAAAAGGACAGAGTCTCACTATGTTGCCCAGTGGTCTTGAACCCCCAGCCTCAAGCGATCCTCCCACGCGCCTCCCCAGTTGCTGGGACTACAGGCCTGAGCCACCCACTGGGCTGTGGTCCACAGTGTTTTTGTTGGTGCCTTTGTGTGGCTTTGGTACCAGGGTGATGATGGACTCCTGAGTTAGGAAGCATCCTCCCCCACTGTCCTGAAAGAGTTTGGGAGGGTCACTTTCTCCCTTTATTTAATGCTCTGTAATCTCCAGTGAAGCCATCTGATTCCAGCCTTTCCCTTGTAGGGGATTTTAAATTACTAGCTCAATTGCTTTAATTGTTTTGGGACTGCTCAGATAGTTCATTTATGATGTCAGTTTTGGTAACTTTTGTCTTTCTAGATATTTACTTATTTTCTCTTGGTCAGTAAAACTAACATTAGGTCACAAATGGATCTTTTTTTTTTGAAACAGTCTTGCTCTGTTGCCCAGGCTAGAGTGCAGTGCCACAGTCTTGGCTCACTGCAACCTCTGCCTCCTGGGTTCAAGTGATTCTTCTTCCTCAGCCTCCCAAGTAGCTGGGACTACAGGCACGTGCCACCGTGCCTGGCTAATTTTTGGATTTTTAGTAGAGACAGGATTTCTCCATATTGCCAGACTGGCCTCGAACTCCTGACCTCGTGATCCACCCACCTCGGCCTCCCAAAGTGCTGAGATTACAGGTGTGAGCCACCACACACGGCCACAACTTTTTATTTCATTTAATATTCTCTATTATGTTTCTGTTTTTTATTTCAATAATTTCCACCTTCCTCTTTATTGTTTTCTTTCTTTTGCATGCTTTGAGTTTAGTTTGCTCCTCTTTTTTTCTGAGATAGCATCTCATTCTGTCCCCAGGCTGGAGTGCAGTGGCATGATCTCAGCTCACTGCAAGTCTCAATCTGCGGTCACTGCAAGTCTCAATCTGCAGCGGGCTCAAGCAGCCTTCCCACCTCAGCCTCCTAAGTAGCTAGGACTACAGGTGCGCACCACCATACCCAGCTAATTTTTAATTTTTTTTGTAGAGACAGGGTCTCCCTGTGTTGCCCAGGCTGGTCTCAAACTCCTGGACTCAAGTAATCCTCCCTCCTCGGCCTCCCGAAAATGTTGGAGACAGGGTCTATTTCTGTTGCCCAGGCTGGAGTCTAGCAGCATGATCAAAGCTCACTGCAACTTCTATCTGCTAAGCTCAAGCAATCCTCCCACCTCAGCCTCCCAAAGCACATGAGCCACTGCACCCAGCCTTTTTCTGCTTTCTTAAAATTGAAGCTTAGGCTGGGCACGGTGGCTTATGCCTGTAATCCCAGCATTTTGGGAGGCTGAGGCAAGTGGATCACGAGGTCAGGAGATTGAGACCATCCTGGCCAACATGGTGAAACCTGGTCTCTACTGAAATACAAAAAATTAGCCAGGTGTGGTGGCACGTGCCTGTAATCCCAGCTATTCGGGAGGCTGAGGCAGGGGAATCACTTGAACCCAGGAGGTGGAGATTGCAGTGAGCCGAGATCACGCCACTGCGCTCCAGCCTGGCGACAGAGGGAGCCTCCGT